TTGATAGTTTTTGAGCTGTAGACAAGACCAATATCATCCACATAACTCAGAGATCACACTATTCTCATATTTCTATTTTTGAATAGATATGCAGTGTATATTGCAAATAAAATGGGTGAGATTGAAGATCCCTGTGATACTCCTATTTTTATCTCAGTCTTGTCTTATTTCATTCCATCAAAGAAGAGTTGTATAATTCTTTTAGACATGAAACAGTTAACTCATTTTATTAGAGAAAGTGGCAGTTTTAATATCTTCAATGTCTGAATTAACTTTGACTTTGAAACATGATCAAACACTCCTTTTATATCAATAAAAACTGCAGTTGAGACCAGACCCTCATGCTTTGCTATTTGAATATCATGAACAACTGAGAGAACAGTGTCAATTGCAGAACACTGTTTTCTATCTCCCATTTATTCACTGAATAAAAGAGAATCATCTATAGAGCTTATAAAAGATAGTTGAGTAGCTATTATCTTTTCTAAAACCTTTCCTAAACAGTTCAATAGAGATATTACTCTATATGACTTAGGAATTGAAGTTTTTCTATTAGGTTTTGCAAGAATCACTCCAGTGGCTTCTCTCCAGCATTCAGAATGATATCCATTTTTCAAGAGATTGAAAAAGAGCTCAAAATATTCATTCTTTAAGTAGGAATATGTATTTTGAATAATCAAGTGATTAATTGAATCAGGACCTGCAGCAGTTTTAACAGAACTTGAGAAGATAGCTGACTCTAATTCATCTTGTGTAAGATCAGGCCATTCCCAGTCATTTTCATCAATGTAGTTGAGAAGTGATATATTCTCTTCCTCTGAATCTGAATCTGAATCTGGTGAGTTCTGAAAGAGAATTCTCATGAAAGCTTGACATTTTTCCTCAAAAGAGTTTGCTGTATATGATTCATTCTGAAACTCATATTCTAGAGCTGGAAGTTTTGCTACACTTCTTGTTTTAGTATAGTTAAAAGCTTTAAAAACTTCCTTCCCTTGTGCTTCTTCAAGAAATTTATTCCAGCAGTCTGTTTTAGCTCTTTTAATATCTGAAAAATATTCATTTCTGACAGTTTTGAACTCTTCATCAGATATTACATCATTCTTTCAATCTCTTCTAGCAGTAGCTAATTCTTTTCTTTTAGATGAGATATTCTCATTTCACCAAGGTTTTGAATACTCAGAAGATTTTCTTTTTGGAATATTATCTCTAACACTTGTTAGAATGATAGATGTAATAAGCTTCACTCTATTCTCAAGCATTTCATTTGAGATATCTTGATCAGAATTCCAATATAGCTCATTCTGTCTTTCAGATTTTAACAGTTTTATGCTTTCTTCAACTGCTTTTCAATCAGCTTTTTCAAAGTTATACTGATTAGAGAGAAGAGGATTTTCACTCATTTGTTTTTCACTCAGTTCAATATCAAATTGAATAATCTCATGACCTGATTCTGATGTCTCATTTGAATCAATAAACCAGTTTACAAGTCTTCTTTTCATTAGATTTTGTGACATGAATGTTAGATCTATAATAGACTTCTGTTTCATGCCTTTTCTAAAGAATGTTTGTTGATCAGACTTATTAACCAAATCTATTGAATGCTCAAAGGTTCATTCAATCAGATTATCAGCTCTCACTGCTCTCTTGCATTCTGAATTTCATCAGGGATGATGTGCATTGAAATCTCCTGCAATTATAGAGTTTTTTGATGAAGTTATGTTCAGAAATCCTCTATCAATTGTTCAGGTATTGTTATTTTCCTTCAATGACTTTTCATTATAGATATTTATGAGCTGTATAGTATCAAACTCATCTTCTTTATCTATAATATCACCCATCAGAATATCAGAGTCAGACATGATATCAAATCTTAGATTAAATTGATATCTTGATCTCTTTCTTTCATCGATCACTACTCTTGACTTTATCTCAGACTTTTGAGGTAAAAAGCAGTAGTAGCTTGAATGAGAAATGACATATTTTTGCTCAGCATCAAAATTCGGCTCCTGAAGCAGTACAAAATCAACTTTTTGTTCAAATGCAATTTGAAGACAAGAATAAATGCAATTTGAGTTTCTATCCACATTATTTTGAATAAATGTGATTTTTGAAGAGTTTTTAAACTTTTTTTGTTGTTTTTGTTGTATATTCATACTAAAAGAGAGTAGAGAAGAATCTAATCACTATCATCAGATAGTAGATTATAACTGTTCTGAAAAGTAGGAATCTCAACTGCTTGCATTATATCTAGTTTATCACCAGAGTCATTTCTCAATTCTCTAATCTTAACAGAAGTTTGAGGATTCAAATTCTGTTTACATTTTGCTGGAGAATTGAAGTTTGAAGACTTAGATAATTGAGAGTTTCTTCTTTTTGAGCTTGCAGTTGTGAGTTTACTGACTTGACTCTTCTCTTCAGTTCTAGATTAACTTTGAGCTTCATCTTTTCTCCAGTTCTTTTGAGTTCTAGGAGCAAACATACATTCTTTTGAGCTAGATGCATGTTTTTCTTTGCAATTAGAGCACTTAAGCAGAGTATGTTGACAAATTTCATCTCTTTTTGAGCATGTTTCACATTTATGCTCACTAGTTTTGTGATCTCTGGCACAGAATGCACATTTTGAGTCTCTAAAACATGAGATTGCAAAGTATCCATATCTTTGACAGTTTGAACACTGTGTTTGAGCTTTGAGATTCATTCTTGAGTCTTTGTATTCATGAACTCTCATTTTCAAACCTGCTACTCTTACTTCAGAGATCTTTGACTGTTCAAGTGTTTTTGTATATACTAGAACAGAGGCATTTCTCCTGCTTTGTCTGAACTCAATTGAATTTAGTCATACAGGCTCCTTTCTCAGTTGAATGGAGTTATATTCTTCTAATTCATTTTTGAGAAGTAGCATTCCTTCTTCACAGTCAAAAATTTCAACTGAAATATCATGAAGAATGAATTTGCCCCACTTTTCATCTCTTTCAGATAGAATTGTTGTGTTTAGTAATGATTCTACTGCTGACTTTCAGAGATTCTCATTCTGAATAAGGAATTCAGCACTGAATTCAGGCATTGTAGTCAGAATAATAGAGTTTCCAAAGAATGATGGCTCAATTGAAGCTATAACTGGTTTTTGAACTTCAATATCAGTCATCAACTGAGAAAAGAACTGCTGATTAATTTCATTTCTGATTCTGAAAATGAGATTTGAGTTTAGCTTGTTTCTTTGCAGAATGTCCTGGTTTGAGACTTTGAGAATGAGTCTTCTATTTCTAGAGATTTGGAAGTTTTTCTCTTTTTGCATTTTCTTTTCCACTTTTCTATGAATAGAGACATGAGCAGTATTCTTCTCAGTTTTCTCAGGATTTTGAGCAGGTTTTGAGACAGCAGGTTTAGAGACAGCAGATTCAGCTGCTTGAGCATATGTTTTCTTCTGATTCAAAGAAGAAGAAGAAGTAGGAAGAAAGAAAGAAGAAGAGTAAGATGAAGAGTCAGTGATTGTACTAGGAATTTTCAAGGTTTTTTGAACTGTGTTTGAGATTCCAAGTTTGAACTTGATCACCTCCTGTAGTTGTCTGGCCTGAGTATGAAGAATTAACAGAACTTCTTCATTCATCTCACTCAGACACTGCTTTTCAAGAATCTTGCTTGCTTTTTCAAGTTCCTGTATTTCAAGAACTTGTTGTTTCTCTATTTCTTCTTTCTTTCTTCTCTTCAGAATTTCAATCTCAGGAATAGCATTTGAGAAAGCATCTTTTTCCACATCAACTGAGTGTATTTTTGAACTCATTGTTTTCACTCAATGAAAAGTTGGTCAGACTGTTTCAATTGAGATATTTCTAAGTCTGTTTTCAATTGAAAAGTTGGTCAGACTGTTTCAAAAGAAGAATAAAAGACTTTTGTGTATAAAACACCTGATTTTTTTCACACTAGTTCAGTAACTAGGTTAGATTTTTGAAGAGAATCTAATAAACTAAAATTGATTTTTAAGATAAATCAATAAAATCTTTACAATCTCTTTCTTGGGATACAGTGAGGAAAAGTATGATATCAATTGATAATAAATCAGATGATATGACAGTTTTTGAGAGAAAAACTGACAAAAAATAAATCAATTTTTTGCAGAGAAATTGATTAAAACTATTCAATTTTATTCTAAATCATCCAATTCTCCTCACACAACAAGTGTGCAACTCAAATCAGTTAATAAAGAGTGTAAAAAAGAATTAAGTATTAATGAAAGCTCTTCAGCCACTGAAAAAGTAATTCTTACTTAAAAGAATATGAAATTATGACAGAAAACAACTCTGTTTTTAATTCTTTGTAAGAATATTGTGTAAAACCCAGAGAAAAACACCTTACTTTTTCAAGAGAAGTAAAAAACTATTTCTAAGATCTTTTTTTTTTTTTTTTGCATTAACTGCTGCAGAAGAATGAGATAGAAACTGCTAAGATATGCACTACTGTATACTCTCTACCAAGACTTTCCCTCTTCAGGGTCTTGATATTATAGAGAATATAAGTCTGTTTCTATATGATAATATAAATATTGCCAGCGGGATGTAGAGGAACTGGTTATTTATATCTCAAAATAGAAGACTTTGTCAATGATTATATCAATATAGAGTTAATTCTCAAATTCAATAGAAACGTAGTGTTGCTGTTCTCAATCCCTTGCAGAATCTATTGAATATTGAGGTATTAAAACTAGATTTAATATATCTCACTGTGCAGGGATCAAAGGCTCAGTCAGACCTTGGGGTATACTGATTTTATAGTTGTTGGTGTGCTGTTGACTCGTTGTCCACTGGTTATGTATTGAATACTGTTGCCGAGGTATCTTTTTGTATCGTTCTGCTGGGGATGGGCCAGATTGAGAGGGGTAGTACAGGGGTGAGACTTGGTGTTGAACACTGGCGGCGGACCGTGGAGGTTGCACTTCAGAAGAGTCCGTTGATTATGTGCTTGATATTATCGCCGAGGTATCTTTTTGTATTTTTCTGCCGGGGATGGGCCAGATTGAGAAGGGCGGTACGAGGGTGAGACTTGGCGTTGGTGTTTTGGAACATCAAAGATGGACAGGGTTTTCGCGGAGGTCGCTCCTCGGATATCTCCACAACTACAGGTCGGGGGTCTTCCAAAATCGAGAAGATTGGTGCATATGGCTAGGTCACTTCACCTTACAATTTGTATGGCACTCTGGCCCGGGGTTGTGGTGTGGTAGGGGAGAACGGGGGATAATCCCACACAGGAGCTTCGAACAACGTCCGGTTCACGTTTGGCTGGATAACTCCACCACCACACGGGGTATGCGGTCGGCGATGGGGTCAAAATGCTCGTATGATCGAGGGCTTTTCGATGGATCTATCGGCGGGTTCTTATTCGAAAAATCGAGCGAGTTCGTGGTGGAGCGGTTGCTGAACATTGGATTGAGTTATTCAGAATGAACAACAAGTTCATTATTATATTATATAATCATATTATCTTACACACTGTCTTACTAAGAGTTATATACTCAGCTTCATTTGAGCTGAGAGATACACAGAGCTGCTTAACAGATCACTATGATATAGAGATATCTGTAACTTTAAAGACAAATCTGAATATAGACTTCTGATCATCATTGAGAGAGCTGACTCAGTCAGAATTCATATATTTAACTGATGCATATATCACATTTAGCAAGCTGCTCATATCATTGTTCAGATTCTTGTAAAATATACTCAGATTCTTAGTATCATGAAGATAGTGTACAATGTGTAGTAGAGCTTTTCATGCTTTCAGTATAAGAGCTGAGTTCTTCTGTGCTAGAAGAGATGCTGCACAGGCAATATCTGAATGTAATTTAACTGTCAAATACTGCAGACAGCTGACTTTATATTAATATCAAGTCTTTGTGAATTCACTTTTCTTCTCTGACATAGAGAAGTCATCTAGGTGTAAGTCTTTATTCATGAGTGAGTGAACAGTAATTATATCATCAAGGTGAAAATCTTACATTAAGTGTGTGATATATTGTTCAAGTGTCAATTTGACCTCATTCTTCATACAACTGACTTTCATACTTAGATACTTTTTAGATTTCTTGAGATCTTTAATCTCAAGCTTTTCACTCAGCATGTTCATCAATCAATCAGCATTCACAGACTGCTCAGTTATAATATGAAGATCATTGACATTATTATTATTATTATTATTATTATTCTTCAATTATAGATGTATGTAGTCAGAGACTATGACATCTATCTGAGAATCTTTAGTTCTCAGGGTTTTTCCTATATCTATAGAGTCAACTTATTATACATTTATCAATTTCAAATATGCAAAATCAGAAAATTCCAGCTCAGAATATAAAAACTGTTTATAAATTGCAGTATTTCAACACCTTCTGATAGTTTGAAATCATTCGGAAATATTATGACAAAAGAAAAGAGAACATAGTCTTAAAGATAGACATATTAAATAGATAGAGAAAAGAACAGAAGGAAACAAGTACAGTAAAGAGAGATTATAACAAAACAAAATTATTAAAAGATAATATATAGCTGTTTTAACAGACTATATCTAGTTAATTTTCATCTCTTCATATTCAGATACTTCTGAATTCAGTCATTTTCTTGTAGCTGCTCTAGTTTCTGATAGAAAGTCTATTAAGTATTTAGTTCCTGTCTCAGTTGAGAATAAGAACCTCATATTTAATTGATTTAAATCATACTTCTTCTTTAATCTGACTCTGAGACTATTGTATAATGCACAATGTATTACAATATACTCAGGATTTTCATTCACATTGCAGAATGAGTACTCTGTTGAATCAAATCTATCATCAAATCTTTGTATATAAGATTTGAAATAATCATGTTCTAGTTTCAGCTGAATTATAGATGAGAATATTTTCTTTTTACATTTAATTGAACAAGATTTTCACTTTGATTTTATCTCAAATCTTGAATAATGTATACTCTTCTTTTGTTTCTGTCAGCTTTCATTTCACTTATTTAAACAAGATTCTTTTATCTTTCTCTTTATAAAAGATCAGAACACTGTTTTTTGAATAGATCTGCTTAATTCTGAACTCTTTTTTACAGCTGAATCAGTCAATTCATTGCCATGAATATTCATATAAGCAGGAACTCAATACAGATGAATTATCAGTTTTAATATTCTTCTCTTTTGAATTTTTAAAACAGAGTTTAAAATCAGTTCAAGATTCATTTGATCATTATGAATCTGACTATTTCTAAGTCTTTTTAAAGCAGTTTGACTATCAGAGAATATTCATATCTCTTTCAAATCATTTTCTCTTTTATGAGATTTTATTTCAATGAGTTTGAAAGCTTTCACTATTACAAATAGTTCAGCATCAAAGACTTCAGATTCACAGTCTAAATTTCAGAAATCTGAGATAAAATTAATATTATCTTCAGTATAAGCAATGCCTGTGCCTAATCTATTTAAATTCTCATTTTTTGAGCCATCTGAGTAGATCAGAATAGAGTCTTTTATATTAATTATAGAGATCTTCTTCAAATGCTGTTCATATTCTCTCTCTTTAGATAGTTCACTTATTTGTAAGTCTATGAGAGATTCCAGCTTTTCTCTCCAGGGAGATATCTTCTCATGATCAATTTTCTCAACATTTAATGAAGAAAATTGATTCTTAATAAGTGAACTACGGGCGCTAGCCACCCGCAGGATGCACCTTAAGCTAATTACATTTAACCCCCTATAATTAACCGACCACCGCGTCCGTCCTCTCGGGCCAGCCACTAATTTCCAGGGGCGTTAGTTAGTGGCTGCCACTGCCCACTTGATGGCGTACACACCAAGCTTCCGGTTGCTGATCTCGGCCCCATAGATGGGGGTCCCCCCCGGCAGCCGTCGTGGCCTCGCCCCGTGTAGGGACTACCATAGGCTTGATGACTGCAGTCCTCCTGCCAGTATTAGGGCTTGGCAGTGAGCTTGCAGGCTCGAGCCTATCAGGGTGCCCTGTCTAGGGCCTAGATGCGCGTCTAGGCCTGCTAGTCGGGTGGTTTTCAAAATCATTCCCTGTATTTGGGGGGGAGCTAGGCTCCGATGACGGCCCTAGTTAGGGACTCGCTTAAGTAGTGTATAACCACTACATTAGGCTTGGCTCTATATCGTTAGAACCTTGACGGGTGCACAGTAGGATAGTGGGACATTGGCACCCCATGCCAGCCCTGGTGGGTGTTCGCAGGATCTCGCTTAACTAGTGGCTTGGCTTGCAGTAGGGAGTTCTACCCCGCACCAAGCCTTACTAATTAGGCTCAGCCCCTATTACATGGGGGCTTTCATGGGTAAGAAGTGGCAGGTGCCAGCGGTGGGATTCGAACCCACGCACCCCTAATGTGTGCGGCCTTGGTTACCAGTCTTACCAACTGGGCCACGCTGGCGAAGATCATTGACATAAATGACAGTGATTGAGTCAGTGTTAGCTTCTACAGTTGTAGTGACAGTCACATTCTTTGACATTTCTTATGCTTTTGCAGGGAAAATCACATCACTCATATTAATAAGCTTATCTGATATAGAACTTCACATGTGGTAGATCACACATCTGCAGAATTCAATAAGTTTATATAGATCAGCCTGAGCAGACAGTTTGTTCACTAACTTCTGCAATTTATAAAGATGAGCATAGATATTCAATTCAAGCTCATGAAAATGTAAGATCTGCAGCAGAGTGTTTGTCAGAGCTGAAAAAGAAATTGTATAAGAGCTGTGAGCAGGTTTCTTGTCTTCTGCAACTGCAGGTCAATACTTCTCATTGTATAGTATAGTAGACATAGATATGTTATTAGTTATCACAATAACAGTATTCAATACATTCACTTAAAATTTCTTAGAAATGTTCTTGTCAATGATGACTGTTCTTGTACACATCATGATTGTGTGAATCCTGTGTTCAGAGACATCATCTTAATGTGAAGAATGAGAAGTTGTCAGCTCTCAAATTGTACTGTGATTACTAAACAATACAGTGATCTTTGCAGATCTGAACACTCTGTTAATATCAGTTCTAATGTACACAGGTACTGTAAACCTCAAATTCTTTGTAAATTGAGCTCAATGAATATAATAGTCATAAGCTTGATCTTTGCTTTGCATGAAATACACTCATCTATATCTCATTGTATTGTCTGTAATCAACATGTAGTATTTAGTTCTCTGACATGACTTGACAGAGTGATTGAACATCTCATTTAATATGTGCTTATCACCTGCAAGATTAATATGAATATATTGCATGAGTTGAGTCACTCATGATATGAAGGTCTGAGAAAAATGATGTGTCATGCTCTCTTTCATATAACTGTCACAGAAAAAACCAGTCTTGAGACTCTTGATTCAGACACCTGACAATAGATTCTTCATCAACACAATGATGACTTCTGTATATATATAATCTAAGTCTGTGTATCATTCAGTGAGTGTTTTAGCAATTGTGAGAAATTGAGTCTGATTATTGTTAGTGAAATTATTGTTGTCAGCAGTAGTTACAGCATTCATATATATATATAATTTTGCAGTGTAATATACTGCTCTTGACTTATGATGAATGTCAACTTCTGACATTCTTTCAATAATTTTATATATAAAGCTCTGAGACATGTGAATCACAGTGAAAGTAACATTATTTAAGACTCTCATGAGAAAGTAAGATGAGATAGATGATAACAATTCAAATCAAAAACTCTGATCTTCAAGCTTGATGAACAACAACAGATTGACTGTGAGATTGAGAATTCAGTGAATATTGTGAATTGTAATATTTCTCTCTTCAGATTCTAAGAGAAGATCACTGATTTTCTTGATATGATTATAGTCTTCATCTGCAGTGTTAATCTTGAGATTATCAACATAAGTCTTATATTGAATAAGAAACTGCTTTTTCCTCATCATGTTGAAGCTTGCATATATATCAAGAAATCAAGGCTTGAATATAGTACTGACAGTTGCTGAAAAAGCAATCACAGCATTAACTGTGACAGGTTGAGAGATTAGAAGATCAGAAGATTCATTCTTTTTATCATTTTTATTCTTATTCTTCTTCTTATCTCTTCACTTACTGCATTCACTGATATTACTACTATCATTCTCTTTAAGTGTAATGATACAGTTCTTGTTTGACTCACATCACTGTTCAGTAGTAAGTTCAGAGTATAGATATCAGTAAGTGTTCTTTAAGTATCAGTTTGTACTGTATATATCACACTTAAAGCTGTAAGTGAATAATATAGTAGAGATTGTAATAACTGCATTGACTCACTATGACTTGAAATATTCATTCTTAGACTTGCTTGTATAATTTGTCAACTGTTTCATGAGATCTTTAATATTAATATTGTAAATAGAGTCTTGATCAGTCACATAGAAATTATTCAAATATATCTTAATAAAAGACTTTTGATGATCTTTTAAATCAATAAGAAAGAGATTATAATAGAAGTCTTCTGAGTTATTCACTAACTTCTTATAATATGCAATCAAATAATAGAATCTTCTCTGAAATACTAGATAATCATTTTTCTTAATATGTAAGATAATCAATTCTTTTATAATATTCATATATTCTTCTGTAAGTGAGACAGCATACTCAACTTCAATTCTTTCTTATAACACAGCTGTATTATCTGACTCAAGAGTTTCAATAATTATATATACAGATTCTAATAAGAACTGCAACATATATTAATACAGTGCTTTGATATAAATACTTTATTTTTCAGCACTTAACATATCTTGACTGATATCTTCTGAACAGATATATTGATTCTTTATAAGAATGTCAAATCTGCTGATAACTTCAGTATCTGCAAGAATTTCTGTACATCAGGTCTGATAATTAGTGCTATCAAATATGATTACAGTCTTAGTATTCATGACTTTTTGAACATTCTTTTGATATTCACAGATCTGAGATTTGAAATTGTTCACAGCAGAGATGATCTTCTGATACACACTCATTCTATCACAGAACATCATAAGGTTGTCAAATGACATGAATATCATATCATCTTGACTCATTCTAGGTATAGAACTGCTAGCAGAACACATTTCTGTGAGTGCTGTACACATAGCACTTGAGCTTGAGATTCCATTATCAGATTCATGATGAGTGTCTGTGTCTTGACTAGCAGATGACTTCATGACTTTCTCTGTGACTTCTATGTACTGAGTAACATCATCTTTGTCTGATTCTTTGTCAATAGGGGCCTGTTGAGCTGTCTGAGTATGAGAATGAGAGTATAGAGTCTTCTTTCTATCACTTTGAGAAGTAGGCAAGCTACTCATCAGTCATCACAACCTGGGTATAGATATAAGGAAAGAGATTCAGATAAGATCAATCTCATTCAGTTATTGACTCAAAGAAAGAACACAATCTCTTAATTCCTAGACATGTCTGCTTGTTGAAGCACACTTGTTCTGAGTAATGAGAGCATCTTCTATTCAAATCAACATAGAAAAGTGAACCAGTCCGCGAGCAATTGACTACAGCATAATCCTTCTATAAAAACGCGTATAAGGGGTCTTAATAAAAGAAAAATCGCGAATGTCCAGGCTATAACCTGTATGTGGGAAAGGTTGATTCTCCTATTATTATGGGAGCAGCTAGCTACGTTATATAACATAAGAGATCACGTGCAGGCGGAGCGATCGCTAGGGCAACGCCACCAAGGCGGCCGCCGCTACACAAAAATCCATGGATACGTAGTGGCGCCTGCCAATTGCACCACTCTATCTACCCTCTATCATCACCACCGCCTCTAACGCCCCGTAGCACCCCCTATTAGTG